TGAGTGAAGAACCGAACTCTAAATCTCTTTTTAAATTCGTTCGTGGTTGCAAAAACTCACTATCTCCGCAACAACAAACCAAATGGTGCTCTGAAAACGATAAAGAATTCTTAACACACCTTAAAAACCAGGTTCCAGACAACAATCCTCTTGATTTACCCTCAGCGACAGCGAACTCATCTACCGAATTCGCCCACGAAGAATTCACACTAATATTAAACAAGAAGAAAAAACCATCTGCTGCTGGAGTCGATGGCATTACATATGAAATGGTCAACAATCTGCCTCAATCTGCAAAAAAAATCTTCTTAGAGCCATTAACATTTCAGGGATGAGTGGAGGAAAATAAAAATTGTTCCGATCCCAAAAAGAGGAAAAGATTTAGAGGTATTTACAAATTACAGGCCAATTGCGCTAATTCCAGTTTTTGCAAAAAATATAAATTTGATGGTTAAAGAGAGGCTTCAAATTTTTCTCGACCAGCACAACATTTTACCACAGAGTACATATGCTTACAGGAAAAACTTATCCGCGTCAATGTGCATAAATGACCTGCTATATTCAATTAATTTTCACAAAGAAAAAGTTATATTATTGTCACTCGACATCAACAAAGCTTATGATTGTGTTAAAATCGAAATTTTATATAATATTTTAAACGAAATTCAATGTCCAAGAGAATTATCCACTTGGATGATAAATTTTCTCAAGCACAGAATTTTAGTATTGGGTAATGAAAGCCTTCCAATTTACAACGGTCTCCCACAAGGCAGCTGCCTTAGTCCCACACTATTCAACATCTACACTCTTGGCCTGCATGGTATTTGCGATCAATATACAAAAACGTTTCAATTTGCCGATGATTTCATCATTCTAACCGCACACAAAGAGTTTGAATCTGCCAACAACTTACTTCAAAACAAGGTAAATCAGTTTTGCAATCTAATGAAATCCTTAAATCTTTCCCATAACTCGGAAAAAACTGTCGTTATGTATGTGGCAAAGGGAGCCAGGAAAGTTCCTAAAATCTTAATACAGAGTACTACAGTCAACAAGATCAAGTTTCTGGGAAGGCATATAAAAAACAGCCTTTCCATAAGCAATCACTATGAAGAGGTAATTTACTCATGCGGCACAACTTTAAATGCTCTTAAAATGATAAACTCGCATAAACATGGTTTGAATCCTAAGATATCTTTAAACTTAGCCAAATCACTACTTTTTTCTAAAATCGAATACTCCATATCATCAATGGCTCATATGCCCAACTACATCAACAAAAAAATAACCACGTTCCAAAACCAGATTCTTCGGAAAAGTCTAGGTATAACTCCATCCACGCCAGTTCATATCCTTTACGCCTTAGCAGTCATTTTGCCTCCTGAAAAACGAGCACAGTATTTAGCAGCCAAAGAACTATTGAAATTTAAAATATATCACAACAACACGTATAACCAGTTTACAATAAACCCATCCATCAGAACAAATTTTTGTCTGGTGTACAATAAATTTCAAAATATCTTTGACAATACAATAATCAGTGTTTTTGAAACTCCAGGAACCAAAATCACTTTTCTATTAAGCATCTTTAATGTTGTGAAAAACTCACAACCCAAAGAATTTTTCAAATCCACTGTACTTCAAAAACTGCATGAGTTTAAATCAATCGGTGCATCAATATGGGCTACAGACGCATCGATAAGCGCAGATTCCACAGGATGTGGTGTCTGCAACATATCGTCCAATGAAAACTTCGTTTTCAAAATTGAGGCTAAACTGTCCTCTCTTATGGGAGAACTAAACGCAATAAACAAAGCAATTGATCTAATCATTGAAGATGGTATGGAAAAGGCTGCCATTATCACTGACAGCAGGAATGCCTGCCTTTTAATTCAAAACAACACTTCTCTTAACTATCTAGCCAATGAAATAAACAGGAAAATAAATAATTCCAAAATAAGTTCACTTACCTTTATATGGGTACCATCACATATTGGCATATCCGCCAACGAGCAAGCTGATTATTTCGCCAAACAAGCTGCAATCACTGGATGTATCATACCAAACCACCTGTCTGTGAAAGATGCCCACTCCATGATATACGACGTCCTGTGGAAAGAATGGACCGATCAATACAAAACTACATATACACGTAAAGGAACATACTTCACCAATTTCTTTTCAACACCTCCAAAAAATTATTGGTTCTCCGGGACACCTCTGTCTCCTGGTGAAATTAAACTTGTCAACAGACTACTGTCCGGCCACACATATGCGAAGACGTACCTACACCAAATCAACATAGAAAGTAGTAACCTCGGCGACTTGTGCAACATCCCCGAAACGGAAGATCATCTGATTTTTTATTGTCCGAAATATTTAGCAATTAGAAGGAATTTTGAGTTTTTTAATCACTACACCAATTTATGTGACCTCCTAAAACAACGTCCCAATGCTTCTCTTAAGGAATTATGCAAATTTACTTTATAAGGGCAAAAAACGCGTCACTCAACACACAATCAATGAATGGAAATCTTCACTTACAGCCTGTTTTTGTAATTTGTTCCGGCAGTCACACGTATCGTTCGTATTAAAACGTATACTCTTAAGGAATTATGCAAATTTATCTCCACCGCCAACATCAAGTTATAAGGGCAAAAAACGCGTCACTCAACACACAATCAATGAATGGAAATCTTCACTTAAACTACTACATAACACTTAAAAAATAGTCTACATGATAATACTCAGCAGTGGTTATGAGTACTCGGGTACTCGTCCAACAAACAACACAAAGCCCAAAAAAAAAAGAATAGGTAGTCATTCATTGTGCCATGCTTGAAGCCTTATTCTGGATGTCAATTCCACGTGATTTTACTCGCTCTTCCCCTTTGACTTATTCTGAACAACATTTCACAGTGAATTTTTTCGCGTTCTCGTTTTCGCCATATTCTGAATGAAGTTCGAAAGCGAAAACATCTGCTTCGGTGAAAAATTAGTTATTCTGGATTACAGGGAGTGGGAGAATGAGATGACATTTGGGCGAAATGTTTCGCTAATAAATTTAAAGGGAGCTGCTTACAAACACATAAGTAATAAATATTTTCATGAAAAATATCAACACAATACTTATTCTATGACGAATATAAAGATAAATGATTGTATGCAATTTTAACTCGAAAACAACAAATAAACTGCCATTGGAATATTGATAACGATGTCGATTCCTGCAGTACAGGAAAATAGCACATGTGTTTAGTGGCAAAAATTGCTAAATAATTTATATTTATAAATTTAACACTAAAGCGGTGTACACACTAGCACTTTTGAGTGGCACTCTTGCCCAAATTTTGCTTGTTTGATAGTGGCCTCTCATGTTTGTCATTCATCGGTCAACCACAAAAATATTCATGGTTGTTGGACAGTCAGTAATCGAAAAAAAAGCTGTCACTCAAAAGTGCTAGTGTGTACACCGCTTAAGCTTATCATTTCCTTGTGGTTGTTATATTTTCGATGTATTCAACATATGGTCTGTTCCCGTACTGCAAGAATCAACTAGTTTTACTACGATAACGAATTTTCCTTTATGATATCGAAGAAAATAGTAAAATCGAGTAGATTCTTGCAGTACGGAAACAGACCAATCTATAGCTAGAATTTGCAATTTTTTATGGAATACATGTTGGGAAGTGGTGTTGATATATGGAAGTGGTTTTAGAAATTCGTACTTATGTGTATGATTAGTATTAAATGATTCTATTTGCATTTAGTTGAGCATATAGAGAGATGGAAACCTGAAATCCTTATGTGTACGAAAAGTGCTAAATGGTACTCAATTTGGTACAAGTTGGACAAGATAGAGCTTGAGTCTTGAAAATGGGAATTAAAATGACAGCTTGAAAAGAAAATAAATATTTTATTTAATATTTTACTGAAATTTTTCAACTTAGTGGGCATAAAAATTGCATTAGCATGCATAGATGATGAATGCATCTTTCCTAGATATGGATTTTGAAGTGGCGGAAGTGGTAGCTAATGGTCTGTTCCCGTACTGCAAGAATCTACTACTTTTTACTACGATAACGAACTTTCCTTTAGGATATCGAAGAAAATAGTGAAATTTAGTAGATTCTTGCAGACCGAATATAAGCCAACAACGAAAATCAGCAATGCAAAGGGACACAAGAGGATGCCCAAATGAACACAAGATATTGCAATTTCACCATTAAACATCAACATTTCTGAGCTAAAAGAAAACCCAACGAAACATGATTATCACGATAATAACAGGTTTGGAATTCTCAGCATTCTAGTTGATGTTAGTATTCAATGTCCAACTGCTACCGGTAGACCTATGCAAAATCGACTAAAAATAAAAAATAAAAGTAGTATAATAAACCAAGTCGAAAGTCCACTTCGCGATTTCCTTAAAGATCGAAAGTCTACTTCGACTGTTTGACTTTTCAATACAAAAACTCGATTTACTTATCCCTACAACACTGCTGGCTGTGAGTGTATGTGTGGTAAACAATACGGTTCTCATTTAGTTCATTTAGTCTCCATCCCACCTCATTCGTAATATTTCGGTTATACCACTTTGAGTTCATCTTTATCGGCCATTTCGTCTTCTCGTCCCATTCGTTGACAGGTGGAACGTTTTTCAATATTGCAGCAGTCCAGTCGGTGAAAAAGGAGCGAGAAAGCATTCACTCGGCATCTTCGCAATATTCGCAAAATCAATTTTAATTTAATTGAATTTAGTTTAGATAAACAGATATATTGATATATTTAGTTTTTGAAGTATCATGAGTGGGTATCGTGGGATTGGAGGCGGCGGGTTTCCTTACAAGCAGCCTTCTTCATCAAGTCGAACGGCAATGAATGCCGTTCCGCCTCCTTCGTCGCTGAATAATCGTGGTTACCAGAAATTTTCCGCTAGTACTGCAAACAAAGCGGGGACTTCCAAACATGGATATTCTACGCTAGAATCCATAAGTCAGTTTACCAACTCACAAAATTACATTGGGAAGCGAAGGGGATGTAGTACAGAAGATGACTACTTCGATGACGACGATGAACAGTCTACACCATCACGGCCGTACATACCGGCTCCAGGGTCGCCAGGTTCACAACAATCAAACCAGAATGGCAGCGATTCAGAGGAGGATCCATTAGACCAATTTATGGCTGGGTTGGAGAAGCAAGTAGAAAAGGAAAAGGTGTTCAAGGAAGGTAATCAGTCTGCAGTCGCAGCTGCAACAAAAGGTACACGTGGCGACATTGATGAGGAGGACAATGAAGAAAGCTATTACCGGTACATGGAAGAAAATCCCCAGGCTGGATTGAGAGATGATAATTCTGACGTGGAAATTGAGTACGATGAGGATGGCAATCCCATAGCTCCTCCCAAAAAGAAAGATATCGATCCCTTACCCCCTATATACCACTCTCAAATAGATTACGAGCCGTTTGAAAAGAACTTCTACACACCACATGAAGATATATCCAATCTAAGCGAGGATCAAGTGCGAGACTTGCGGAAAACACTTGGTGTAAAGGTCTCCGGACCGGAACCACCAAACCCAGTCACTTCATTTGCTCACTTCGGATTCGACGAAACCCTTATGAAGGCAATACGTAAAGCCGAATACACACAGCCAACTCCCATACAAGCGCAGTCAATACCTGCCGCTTTAGGTGGTCGGGATATTATTGGTATAGCCAAAACAGGATCTGGCAAAACAGCTGCTTTCATATGGCCTATGCTCGTTCACATAATGGATCAACGTGAACTGAGGGCTGGCGAAGGACCGATAGGTCTGATATTAGCACCCACACGAGAATTGTCTTTACAAATTTATAACGAAACAAAAAAGTTCGGCAAAGTGTACAATGTTAATGTTGTATGTTGTTATGGCGGCGGTTCCAAATGGGAACAAAGTAAAGCTTTGGAACAGGGTGCAGAAATTGTAGTGGCCACGCCGGGTCGAATGATCGATATGGTTAAAATGAAAGCTACTAATTTACGTAGAGTTACCTTTTTGGTTCTTGACGAGGCCGACAGAATGTTTCACATGGGATTTGAGCCTCAGGTATGATTACCTTCTAAATAATGCATTATTCTAATTGTTATTCTTCCTATTTACATACACCGGTATTATTCCGATTTGTAGGTTCGATCAATATGTAATCATGTACGGCCCGACCGCCAAACATTACTTTTCTCCGCAACTTTCAAAAAGCGCATAGAGCGTTTGGCTCGAGACGTTCTTACTGACCCTGTCCGGATTGTTCAGGGCGACCTCAACGAAGCTAATCAAGATATTACTCAATATGTGTTTGTGTTTCCTAACCCACTACAAAAATGGAACTGGCTTCTTCTAAATTTGGTACGGTTCTTGTCGGAAGGAAGTGTATTGGTGTTTGTGACAAAAAAGGCCGACGCAGAAACCGTGGCAAGTAATTTGCTTACTAAAGAATACAACTGTCTTTTACTACACGGCGACATGGATCAAGCGGAGCGTAACAAAGTGATTACACAATTTAAAAGGAAGGAATGTGATATACTCGTAGCTACAGATGTAGCAGCACGGGGCTTAGACATTCCACATATAAAGAATGTTATTAATTATGACATTGCACGTGACATCGATACACATACGCATCGCATTGGGCGCACAGGAAGAGCTGGAGAAAAGGGTACGGCGTACACATTAGTCACCGAAAAGGACAAGGAATTTGCAGGGCATTTGGTGCGGAATCTGGAAGGTGCAGACCAAGAAGTCCCGCAGGACTTAATGGATCTTGCAATGAAAAGTTCTTGGTTCCGAAGTTCCCGTTTTAAGCAGGGAAAGGGCAAGAAGCCTGCAGGCAACTATGCAGGTTTGGGTTATAGAGAACGTACAACGCAAGCACAAAGCGAATCAAGTAGTAGCTATTCTAACACCAGCAAATCGTTGTCTTCCGCTGGCCCTGCTACCGACCGATATGCTGCTATGCGGGAAGCTTTTCGTGCTCAATATATGTCACAATTCAAACCATCTACTGACCGTACATGGGAGGAAACATTACCGGAAACAGGTGTTTTTACAGCCCCAGCTCCTCCACCACCGCCTCCATCAGCATCAATTCCGCCTAAACACCCAATCAATGAATCTGCCGAAAATAAGCGTAAGGCCAAGAAAAGTCGATGGAATTAGAACAACTAAAAGCACGATAGCAACGCAAAAAATGTATATTTTTAAATTATAACTATTTCGCAAAAATCCATATGAACTAACTAATAAAGAAGTCACTATATAATTGTTTGGAACACCCACAAATAAACGTCAAATGTGTTAAACCAGCAATATATCGTTACCGAAAAAGCAAACGGACGTAATCATAAATTTGATTATTTTACAGAAGAAGCGCGAAATGTCATATGCCATGTACAGACGAGCGTCGTTCGCTCTCTCATTCGTTGTTCGACCCCTAATTATGAAGTAATTACTTAGTTCCCTATACAACATTTTCTGAGCGAACACCGACTTTTGTACGTTGTTCAATTCGTATCACTCTCTGAAAAATCAAGAATTTTGTCCCATCCCTAACATTTGAGAGTATCGAAAATAAATTAATTTTGACAGTAATCTACATAATGCAATATGGATTTCTTTCCCTTTTGTTCTAATTAGCGTACAGAACGAAACAAAACAAGAAACAAAAAGTGTGAAATAAAAAAAAACTCTAATGACATGAATTAAGAATAGTGTTGTATGAACGGGTTAATTCATGTACGTAATTCTGAGAGCGAACTACGTTGTTCGAATGCCCGTCAGAACATGGCAATACAATCTATAAATAAAAAGTGTTTAAATTTTTTTTTTTAGTTACAGTATTTATGTTTTGAATAAATTTATTATTTATTATTATGTATTTAAGGACTATCTTAGTTGCATTTTTCATTAATATGTACATCCCGTTGTAGAACGTCCGTTTGAATTTCTTTAATTCGCCGTTTTTGGCGGTAGATGTCCAAAAATTTGTGTGAACAAGTAGTATGGAAGGTAGCCCCATTTGAGAAATTGTTAATGACAACCCCTTTAAATTTGTAACCCATCTATCAATTACAAATAATATGAGAAATAAATTCAATACAATTGTATGCATGTCGATTGGCATATTTTTTAACAAATTAAAAATGTATATTTTCTAACGCTTTTATGTATTTTATGATTGAAAACTCTATAAAAACCCTTGCATATAAATATGCATGGTATGTATGTGGTCAATAAAAGTCAGTATAGTATCTTAATTTTTTGATAGTATCTTAAATTTTTGATAAAACGGACAATAATTGGTCCGTGTCCGTACTGCAAGAATGTACTACTCAAGGCCTATATAAGGTCGGCCAGTAAGCGAATTCATAGAGAAAACTTATGTTTAACGTCAATTTTTTTGCCGAGGCGAGAACTAATTGTTTCGCCTTTAAATAAAAACACAATTTATAATTATATAAGATAATTTACTTGAACATGTTCTTTAAAATCTGAATAATATTTTCGTTTTTTATTTTTATTCGATTCCTTTGTAATTTAAGCCAATTTACAATTCTAACATAATTTTCTATGTATATATTGGTTTCAAAATATGATTTGACAGCAAACTTAATACTCAGCTGTCCTTACTGTCCGACCTTACATAGGCCAGGATTGACAAACTGCAGGCTTTTAGTTCCGTAACATGTACCAGGTTTGATATTCGGAACAACATTATTGGGCTCATATCAGGAAATAGATTTCAAAAAAATTGGTAGTCCTTAAAGAAAAATTGACGATATAAAATTACACTAAGACTGTTTATTTAATATTTAAAGAAATGTTAAAAAAACGGTGATGGTTCCCATTTTCATCGATAATCTTACCTCGGTTCAATGTTTATTGAAATAGCCGCATGAAACAAAAATATTAAAACATCCACAATTGTATATTAAAAAAAAAACATTTTTTAGGAAGCTGTCAGTCTTTTGAAGACTGATTTTGTTAAAAATATTTTTTCGGACTTTAGATAAAAATATGTTTTTTAAAGAAATATTTTTTCGAGTAACACATAAAGTCGTGGGGTTTTAAACATGTTTGTTTTGGGTGCCAGATATGGGCGTGGATTCATTAAAAAATATCAGTGACCACAAATGTAAGTGGGTCTCAGGGCTGTCTTTCCTGACCTGTATGGTATCATGATGAAGTAAAAAATTGGTTATTGGTGGGGAAACAAATTTTATTTATTTAATAAAAGAGTAAGGAATAGCCGCTTAAGTGGGTCGATTATACAGCCATAACATTGGAAGAACCATTTTAACAGAGCACGCATTTTTATAAAAAAAAAATCAATGATTTGAAAGAGTTGTTTGTTTGTATGACTATTCATCGTTAAATTATAGGCCAGTGTTTCCAAAAAGATAATAGCTAAAAGATCGCCCTTTATAATTGTAAAAATATGGAATGACAGTGTGTAATAAAACTTCAATTTCCTCTCTCCATATCAGGAAACTTTACAAAAATCGGTTTAGTAGTTGCCGAGATATTTGTATTTCAATTCAACGATGGTCGAAATACATCTTCTGCTCGATTCTGGTCGCCTATTACCTAAAAATGAAAAACCACACAAAAATCGAGGTGCAATTTCTTGTTGCTTGATATGTATGTGTGATTGTATGTGATTTATGCACATATACAATGTAAAATATATTTACTTACACATACATATACAAACTGTAGCTGTATGAAGATCGCAAGATCGATTTTTGTGGTGTTTTTAATTTTTTGGTAATAGGCGCCCAGCATCGAACAGAAAGTATATTTCGGAGCATGGTAGAATTGAAATTCGAATAACTCCGGATATACTTAACCGATTGTTATGAATTTTGCAGCAATGGTTAGAGGGATTTCTGCAGTTTTATTACACAATGACAATATATATTTATTACACCCATAAAGGTGATTTTTTAGCTCTTATCTTTTTGCAATAATGTTTTCAACAGTTTATACACATCTCGTGTTTGGTTTTTCTGTCATACGTCTTCAGTTTCGTCCATAATTTAACGTTGAATCGTCATACAAACGATCAATGCTTTCAAATCATTGAATTTCATAACTAAAATGAGTGCTTTGTTTAGAAAGTTCGTTGCGCGTTTCTTTAATTTTATGGCTGTATAATCGATCCATTGAAGCGGCTATTTTCATTCCATTTCAAATCAAGTTCCCCATCTTCGAACTTGATTTAAGTAAGGAAGAAATATTACAGTATGTAATTAGTCAATCACTTCGAGAGCTATCTCGCACACCAGTCAGACAGACGGACATTTGTAAAGCCTAAAAAGTCTCAAATGAATATTTCGATGAGGCAGTGTATATACCCTCATATATATATATTATTTTTAAAATAAAATTTGTCGATTCTTTAACAGTGACCAATACTTAGCCATTAATATGATACCTTGGATATGACTATATAGTACCTTGGTAAAAAATACAGGATGTAGAAAATAATTGTAAAGAAAAAAATATGTTGCTGTCCCTCAAAATATATAGTGCGGATGTAGATGTCGCTGCTCATGATCGGACAATACCCTACAGGAAAGCCCTCTTTTGGTCGGAATGAATTTAATTTATAGCTTCATACATACCTTCCCGCAATCAACCACAAAAATAAAATAAAAAACCATTTTTTATATTTTCATAGTTTAATTTTTTATATCTTCATCGGTTCACTCACAATTCAAATTGTACCAAATTTAGTACACAGTAGTACGAATTTCCAAAACGTCCTACTTAATCAACTACAAAAATAAAATAAAAACCCATTTTTTACATTTTCATAGTTTAATTTTTTTATATTTTCATCGATTCACTCACAATTCAAATTGTACCAAATTTAGTACACAGTAGTACGAATTTCCAAAACGTCCTACTTAATCCAAACTTTCACCTTCACAGTGATCCTAAATCCAAGTTTCAAGTTGTTTCCACTCTATCAATTCACCCAAATTGTACCAATTATAGTACGGTTTAGTACTTTTCGTACACATCAGTAAATCTCCACATCTAGCTGCACCCGTTCGCCAAATACATATGGTATTACATTTCGTACTTTTCGTACCGGTCTAGTGCGAATTTCCAAAAACCCAGCCTTATCTGTCACCTTTGCACCAAGAGTGACCCTCACTCAAAATTTCAAGATTCTAATTTTTAAACAAATTGAAAATTTTATCAATGCCTTTAACAAAGCTAACTATGATTATTTTTTGAATTCTATGTATCTACCTTGAATGTATTTTCACAAAAAATGTATATATCAGCTGACCTTACTGGGTACCTAATATATATCGTCTTTTTTAATAGTAATGCTAGTAAAAGGGAAACATTTCAAAATCGCTCTCAGAGTACAAAATATTAAATTATAATGGAAAAGTTAGAGATTGAAGTCGGAAATTTCGTATGTAGCATAACTATTATAAATAGAGCGATATGCATAAATATTTTTGGAAAATTGTACTAAATATTTTGTGGACAAAAATGTCTAACTTTTAGTACAAATAAGAGGCTTGGTTTAGGTATATTTGCTATAATAAATTAAAAAATATATATTTTTTTAAATTTGTAGCAAAAAGTACTAAACAGGAAAGGTTAAAGACATAGATCCGCATTTTAGCATTTATCTTTGACCATGGCAAATAAAATGTTTTATGGAAATATTGTTCGAACATTTTTAATAAAAATTACTGACAGTTATATGATATATAGTTTCCAATCCCACATGTATATATATTACAGCGAATTATTATGTGAATTTTTGTTGAAACTTTCTGCTATTTTAATGGAAATCTTCTCCATAAAGGCAGGTCTCTGCATAATAAATTATCCGCTGTGCTAAATATTAGGTTGGGGAAAGTAAATCCATTTTGTTTTTGTGTAAATGGTGTAAAACAGTTGTATGGTCGATTTTTAGCTCCTGTTACGACTGCTAACATGCCGGTCAACTTCGATCATTTCTCCGATTTTATAGACATTTTCGACGACCGGACAAGCTGTGCGAGGTGCATCTTTAACACCAAAAATTCCTGAACGGAATCTACGAAACGAAAATTGTACATAATTATCTGTTACAGTATCGGAACCATAAACACCATTCACAATTTTAGGCGCTTGGCTTGCATTTTCGCCTTTTTCGAAGGAAAACTGTAAAATGTACCGAAATTTTGTTCACTTCCATTTTTAACACTCACAACTGAATGCACCGAACAAAAAACTGCAAAAGAATTGTTTTACTGCGAAATGTCAACCTTCCAACGAGCATAAATCTGAAATTGTTTGATCGATACTTTACGAGAAACAAACATCAAACTTACTTGGTTTTGAATAAATAGTTGCAATGTTGAAAATGCAGTTAAGCTCTGATTGTAAATGTGTGATTTGAACATTTTTTAGCACAATAGTCGAACACTTTGTTTTTCTCGAATATAAAGAAGTTTTAGGGGTTTCTTGTTTTCTTTTACAAAAATATGCGTTTATCTTTAATTACAGTCGGGGAGTTTTATTCTTTATTCATTTTTGATGCCGATAATTATTATTAAATAAAAATATTCAATGTCGGGAAATTTCTCACAAACAATCCACATCCTAACTAAATGCTTCGGTCCTTCGATGTAATATTTTTTGAGTGGTTTAAGTGTTGATATTTTTTAATTATTTTTATGTATTTTTTATTATTTAAGTTTATGGTAGGTGTAGGAGGAGCTTAAATAATTGTTGTATTGCGTAACAATGGCCTTTTAGTTTTTGTTGCAAAAAAGCGAAATAAATTAAAAAAAAATAAAAAAATCACCAATATATGGTGTACTGGTGTACTAGGTTGCAAAAAGTCATATATGCTAGGGTTCTGACTTTCTTGCTTAAGATGTAGACAGGATTTAGTTTCCATTCTACAAGAATGACAAAATTTCAAAATGTTGAAATATTATAATTTCTTAGAAAACGAATTATAAGCAAATATACGATCTGAAATAAAACAAGTTAAAATAATTTAAGAAGGTTTTTATTAATTCGATTTAGGTTTTTATTTCACTTTAGTTTTTATTTCACTTTATCCGCAGTTTTATATCGTCTATGCAGTATAACACGTAAAAGCGCTCCTATATATTTATATAAATATGTATATCGGGAGTTTTAGTTAAATGTGACATTTTATTTAATAAAATCACATTTATGCACTCTTGCATTTTTGTTTACATAAGCGAAACAAATAAAATCATTGTAGGTTTGTAACATTAGGCATTTAATTTATATATTCATTTTCTATTTATTCCTTACTTTTATATAATAATGAAACCACTACTTTCCTTCGCTCCATGTTCAGAACTTCTAGAATACGATAAAAAAAAAAAACAAAATAATAATAAAATTGCTTCGCAAACCTCACATGGAGCTTCGCAAGGCCAACATGCACTATTAAAATATTAATATTTAATAGGTGAAGACCATAAAATCAGAAAATTTCATACAATATTTTGGCGACATTATTATTTTTATTCCATAACTAGACTGTTCTATGGTAGTAATATCCGTTCAAAATTGAACACACAACAATTTAATAATCCAAAATATTATTTTTGAAAAAAAAAACTGTTCGTGCTAAAATGCGATATTCCGTTAACTACATTTAAGTGTGTATTAGTTGTAATAGGATGATTTACTAAAATAATAATCAGGTTGTGAGTTCGCATTGTCCTGACTTGATTGCGCTTTAGAGATTGAAAAATGAAAATTATTTTTTTTTGGGAAGAAGATTGGTCCATTTAGATACCATGTTATTAGTTGAATTGCAAAATATAGTTGCGGTGTACCCACAACAACGAAGAATAGCATTTGTGATAACAGTGGTGTAATAAGTTTCAGAATTATTGTTATTTTATTTCATTGTTCGAGGCATGCGTATTTGTATGTCTTCGGATTAAATTTACTGCAATGACAATTGGCATTTATTTACATCTTATATGCTACGGATCTTACATACTCGTTAATACTCTAAATATCCATGTATGTATTGTAATTAAGTTTAGAACATAAAAATATGAAATAATACTTTGTACATAGTTTTAACATTTAAGAAACAGCATCAGTAATATTAGCAGCGCCCAAGAGCGTAGGATGTTGCATTTGTTGTCTATTGTGCTGGCAACTGCTCCATGTCACCCAAAAAATTGCCACCGATCTAGTGTTTCTTAAACTAAAAATTTAATTTAAAGGAGACTTTAATTTAAAGCATAATACGTTGACCACTGTAAATATATATATATATATATATAATTAATGTTTATTTTAAATCACATTTGAATGTTTTAGAAGTAATAGGCCTATGCACTGGATTCTCATATGAAATTTACCATTTCTTTAGCTATTATGCATTTCCAATGTGGATTAATAATACTATTTAAGAATTAATAATACTATTTATATCAGTCGATAACAATCTAGATGTTCAACGACAGAAGGTGTTTAATCAAATAACGATGCCAAAATATCGTCATTATTGTTGGTGTTGCTGGATCCACTGGATGGCGGAGTGTTTAAATCGGGCTGCGGTTCCAAATACGACAATATTTCCAGTGGGTCTACATCAGATAAGAGCTGCAATTAGAAGAAAAAGAAAGATGTACATAATTACTTGGCAGACAAAAATGAATATATTTGCCCTAAGACACGAAAACCAGAAAAAAATAGTATGGCTTCGGTTTTTAATTCTCTGTCATTTGAAGCTCCACGAATGCACCTTTTTTGCGTTTTGCGGTACTGCTGCTGGGCATTCCCATAATGACCTCTCTATTTTGAAGAATAGTTGTCAGGGTAGAAGTAGAGATGTGGTGGCGATTCGTAACCATTGCGAAAGCGCCAAGTAAATTCACTGAGCTGCAGAAAAATCTGAATAGCGCGATCGATCAACGTAAGAACTATGAGAGTTAGAATGACACACACAAAAACAAATGTAGTTTACCGTTGATTTCGTTCGATGAACACATCAAAATCCACGAAAGTAGTGAAAAAGATAAGCATAACATTTTTAAGGGACGGGAATTTTGTACGAGTAAGCGGGGTTGGGATTTAAATTTTTTATTCATCAAAAAACGGCGACGACAAAAATCAGAGTCAATTCATCCATTGTCTTACAGAATACCAAACTATAGTTGTCGATAAATGTCAATATTGACAATGAGAATGCGGATTAAAAATGTACGAAGATATCGGCAAAAATCTATACCAACCCAAAAATTATTATCAAAAAAAAGTATTTTGCTTTTTATTATTATTTTTGAAAAAAATCATTACATACCACACGCTTTGTCTTTTTATAGTTACCATTGCGGGTATCCACATACTATAAGCAATTTGGCGACGATTCCAATAAACCGCATTTGTTCGCGAAGCAATATCTCATTAAATATTTGGTAATTTCTCGTCCTAATCTCAAAATGAGAGTATTAAATATAGTCGTCGCGGCTTCAAAACATCCAAAATATGTTTAGAATAATAAAAAGGAGGTTTTGCAAAATATATTGCGAGGACAGGACTTTAGAAACTATTAAAACCAAAATCCGACAGACAAATTATTTAAAAAAATATTGCGAAAACCCATTTTTCTGACTTCGAAAACATTATGGTCCATTAATATTGATCTAGGAAACAATATATGTGATGAAAATAGAAATAAAGAGGTCAAATTCAAAGATATGAACGGTTTTATGGCAATAGAAATAAATCTTATTTCGAAAATAAAGAGATCGACCAGTTTATTCACTGCTGCATTTTGTTCGCAACTGATGGTGTTAAACGAATGCAAAATATTGAATGCTTATTCGTCACCACCTACCACAGTTTTTTTTAAAAGGCACTAGTATTTGACGGAGAATGATGTTTTCACCCAACTTCATGTAATGTTTTGTAGTTTCTATTGTTTTAGAACTGTTCATATCTTCGAATCTGCTATTGCTATTTGTATCGCATATATTGTTTCCTACATAAATATTAATGGACCATAATGTTTTCGAAGTCAGAAAAATGTGGTTTCGCGATATTTTTTAAATAACTTGTTTGTCGGATTTCGGTTTTAATAGTTATTAAGGTCCTGTGCTCTCGATATTTTTTGCAAAATCTCCTTTTATTTTATTTTAAACATATTTGGGATGTTTTGAAACCGCGACGACTATATTTAATACTCTCATTTTGAGATTAGGACGAGAAATTACCAAATATTAAATGAAATATTGCTGGAGAATGTATTGAACGTAAATGTAAGAAAATATTCGCGAAAAAATGCCGTGGTTTATTGGAATCGTCGTCAAATCGCTTATAGTATGTGGATACCGGCAATGGTAACTATAAAAAAAGACAAAGCGTGTGGTATGTAATGATATTTTCAAAAATAATAATAAAAAGCAAAATACTTTTTTTGATAATCATTTTTGGGTTGGTATAGATTTTGGTCGACATCTTCGAGACCAATACGTCTTTCGCAGTGATTCTTGCAGAAATAAGATCTAAATATGTCCACAAACATATCCCATCATACATAAGTCATTTTACATCTTTAGTATGCTGCCTTTAGGTGTATATATTGGAATTTTGTCAAATTTGTATAGAGGCAAAATACTTATTACACTCACTGTATGTAAATATTACAATTAAATTTATGTAAAGCCTCAGCGCCCACATGCACTATAGGGCCGTATTTATTTTTTGAAAAATTTTTTGTTTGGTTTTTAAAGGTTTTATGTCAATTACGTCCTTTTGACATGATATTTTCAGAAACAAAAAACGTAAATACATCACAATTATAGTACAACAAAGTGACTAATAATTATCCGATTGAGGCTAAAATTTGTACAGCGTACCAAATTAAGTCTAGATATAGCTCCCATACACATTTTCGACCGATTTTATGTAAATGCTGCACTAAAGACATAAAATATTTCTCCGATAGCGATAGAACTTTTCTAAAATGCCGAGTATTGAGAAATACATAATTATAACTGATTAGTTAAAAAATGAAGATAAACATTAAAATACAGAATTTTGGGGTACCGCTATATGGGGGCTACCGTAAAAAATTGGCCGAAATATCTCATTTTCAATACCAAACATCCCAGAAGTAACTTTAATATATGTTTAGAATTTCTATCTTCAATATTGCGAGCTTTAGTTTTTTACAGGTGTGTAGTTACGTCTTTTTGCATTAATAAAAACATGCTATTCTATTTACGTCTAAATTTTTGTGTGAACATGTAGTTTTATTAAACGAACAATAATCAAACAAAAAGTCAATTTCGAATTTTTCTGTAGTTACGTCCGTTTGCATTTATGACGACGATATATACATTGTATATGGGAAATTACAAAAATCTTTTAAATTCCTTGAAGCTGAGGTTTGCAAGGTTATAACTCGCGAAATATGAACATATTGCATATAATTTAAATTCTTGTCAAAATCTTAAAATATTGGTAATAAATAATAAGTTTGGTGGAAGCTGTGATGGTGGTGATGAACATATTGCATATAATTTAAGTTCTTGTCAAAATCTTAAAATATTGGTAATAAATAATAAGTTTGGTGGAAGCTGTGATGGTGGTAATGTAAAAAAATGGGTGAAAATGCGTTGAAACCAACGAGTTTTTTGTGTTCCTTCTTGATTTGTGGCTAAACTACACAACGCACGCATATCTGATCAGTGACTAAGTTGCTGAATACCCCAGGGACAACATGGTTCTAATGTATCCTCCCGAAATGGATGCTGACATTTTGAAGACGGATTTTCGGTGTTTTTTGATTTTTTCTTATAATTGGGATGCGCATCCAGATAACGGACTAAACTAATTATAGGATTGTAGAACTCGTGATTTTGCTTCGTTTAGTGTATATCTCATGGATGTGCTCACCATAGCTTCTTTGCAATTGGGCTCCAAAGACGAAAATTTAGTGCGTAAATTTTTATAAAAAACATATTTTTTGAGTCCAAAATTAAGAAACTCCATTCAAATTCCGTGGAACCCCGCGTGATTTTAGTTTTTTTACGTGCCTGACATAATGAGCCCATCATTGTTTAATTCCGCAAAATAAAACGGCGGATATAGGTACCTTGAATGTGGGAAAACTGCAAAAACTTATTTTGACAAATTAGCGTATATAATCGCGTTTTTCTTCGAATTGATTTCGCATACATTCATTCTTGTGTTATCATATTCGCGAATCTGTGTGAAAATAGGTCAAAAATATATCGATACGCGAATAATATGCGTATTTTATCCAAAATCGATTGTGGAGGCACATCCGCGGTTCTTAACCGATCCTTTTAAAATAGGTGTCCTTTTGTGTATTTTCATAGGAGATTACTGAAATCGGATCCGCATAAAAATCGTATGCACTGTGCGTCATTTTTAGCAATTTTTAAGGTTTTTGCATAGTAAAGTGCATCGAGCGGCACACTTTAGCCGCAAAATGAAACATCGAAAAATTCATAATTATTGGAAGAGATTGATTCGGTTTATACGAAAACCGCATGCGCAACAACTGATTTCCGCGAATACGCGAATTGCATGCTATTTAATATTGACCATTCTCGGGGTCAAAATTTTTGTTGACTTAATTCCAATCTACACTAATTCAAGAATGTCCCTGCAAAATTTCAAGTAAAAATCTCAAGAGCTCTTGAAGATTTATTGTGTCAGCATCAAGTGACGGCTGAAGGGCTTCTCAAACTTTAAACGCGTTTTTCTCTAAACATTTTTTTGCGAATGGCGGGCACGATAACTCAAAAACTAATAACCCAATCGATTTCAAATTTTTACACGTTTCTCTGTGAGTGTATAGCTATCGTATGAACTAGGATAAAGCCAATCGGTGAAGATCTTCCTTATTTTTTAACTTGGTTTTTGGTAAAAAATCGGCGATTTTTCAAAAATATTTTTTCAAAGTTCCGCCATTTTGTTAATATTAGAGCGAAGTCAATAATCCTAGTTCATACGAGAGCCAGACATGTACTCTTTCTAACACCGTTGGAATTTTCGGATTCCGATGTTCCAGTGAGGAGTTATCATGCCCGCCATCAAAAATATGGACTTTTCTTTGATCACAAAAAACAACAACAAAAATTTTTTGTAAATTATTTTTCTTCTTTTTTAAATCTTCAAATATATATGTGCGAAGTTACAAACCTTAACAAGCATTGGTATTCATTTACCAGCCCATTTAAAATCTTAAAAAATAAAATCGTTTTGTTTTAAATAAAAAATTAATTTATTTTATTTTCAGTTGTCTTCATTTTGTTATTTGTCTTTCGCGACTATTAAACCATATTTCAATGCGATTTGAGAAGTATACAAAGAAAACAAATGTTTTTATGCGTTTGTGAAGAAATTCGCGATGTACAACAAACAGGAATTCATTTAATTTATATATAGGAATTCATTAATTTTATATTATAATTTATATTTAATTTACAAGGTTTAGACCCGCTATAACTTTTGTGCGCAGCATCCGAATTTGTGAAAGCGAACAGATTTCGAATCAGCATATTTGTCTTAACCTATGTACCAAAAATCATAAATGTGCTCGCAAAAAAATTTTTTTAATGGATTTT